GTGCCTCCAGGGTATATTCCCAGAAGTGGCATGGCTAGCTCAATTTTTAAGTGGCATTGGAAGCTCAATTTTCAGATTCTTGAAGAGTGCCCATATTGTTTTCCAAAAAGGCTAGACCAGTCGGCATTCCTGCCAACAGTAAACGAGAGTAACTGCAGACATCTTGCCAAGCACTTTAACTTGCCTCACCTTTTCGGATCCTCACAACAATCTTTTAGAGTCAGAGCTGTTGGTATCTGTAATTTACAAATGGGAAAGCTCAGTTTTGGTTACCACATTGCCCACTGTCACACAGCTTTTCAAACAATCAGCTGCCCCTAGAGGCCATGTTCTGATTGACTATCATGTTCCATCTCCCAGGAGACATGAGACTCAGGGATATGAAAGTGCTGTTTTATTTCTGCAAGTGGCAGGAGTCTTGTGCACACAATGGGAGAAGAGGTCCAAGGAGGGATAGGAACCATCAGAAGAGATGCTAGTACCTTTAGTGCAAGCTCAACTCATTCATTCAATAAATGAGAAAGGGGAGTTCCAGGAAGTTATGTGACTTGCCTAAAAATCACACATATAATAGGTGAAATAGACTAAAGTTCCTATATCTTAGGAACACTCCCCCTTTCTATGTAAACACAGGCATTAAACATGTATTAATCATGAAGGTCTTGCTTAAAAGATCTGAACTATTGTGTCCATGCTAACCACCATAAGTATACAATGATATTAGGTACATTCTCCTTGCCATACAATCATCACCACTGTACATTTCCAGGACTTTTATATCACCCAAACAGATACTCGGTATCCATTAAATAATAACTCCCCATTCCTCCTTTTCTGGCACACAATCATCTGACTCTCTGGTTCTACCCATTCTGCCTATTCTAGGTTCCTCTGTAATGTTTGACTTATTTCACTTAGCTTGAATTTTCTACATATATCAAAATTATAGCATAAATTAAAACTATATTCTTTTCTCCCTGACTTTTAATTGCATATCACACATAATATTTATCACCATAATTATTATATTTTTGAGGGGACACATTCAGAGATGATCTGGGGCAACTCTGGGCTCAGTGCTTAGGGATTGCTCCTGGTGGACCTGGACTAACCCAGGTTTTCAGCATGTAAAACATGTTGGAAAACATATCTGTTTAACATGCTGGAGCCTTTTGAACTATGTCCCTGACTTTCTTAACCATTGTAAGGGTAAAGTCCAGTGTATTAAATGCATGCATACTGTTGCATGACTATCTCCACCATTTAGCTCTAGATTTATTTTAATTTTGCAAAATTGAAACTCTGTACCATTAAACAATAACTCCTCCTTCCTTTACCCTTCTAGAAAAATGTCTATGGTTTTGAAAAATGTAGGAATCTCATGTAAATGAAATTACATTTGTGTTTTTGTTAGTAGCATCAGATGAATTTCCTCCCCTTTAAGGTTTGGTGATATTCCATAATGTGCATATACCACATTTTGTTTATACATTTATTCATTGGTAAGCCCTTTTACGTCCCCTTTAGGTTATTATAAATATAAAGCTATGAACCTGGAAATAATGAATATCATTTTGAGACGCTAATGTAAATTCTTTGGGTATATTCCCAGAAGCAAACTAGCTGGCTTATATTCCACTTTTCAATTTGTTAAGGACCTGTCATACTGTTTTCCACAGAGACCATATCATTTGATGTTCCCAACATCAGTGGTGGGTTCTAACTGTTCCATATCCTCACTAAGACTTACCACATCTCATTTTTAAGGTTGAAAAAAATATTCGATGGCATGTGTATACCACATTTTTTTTTAAAAAAAAAACCTCATTCATCAGTTAAATTGTTTCCACCTTTTAGCTAATAACTCTGTTAAGAATGTTTATGGCAAGTGTGTCTGAACCCCTGGTTTCAATTGTTTTGGAAACAGAATTGCGCCTCGTAGGGTGAATTTTAGGTTTAAGTTCATGAAAAATCTGAAGACTTTTGAAGGTTTCCTGTGCCCCGTCTTTAACAGCGGCCACCGGAGTCGGCTTCGGAACAGATACTGCTAGGGGTGGGGGCTCCTCCCTTTCTCTCTGGCTTCTACACACTGCTCCCCCTTTCCTCCAGCTCATTGTTTCAAGCAGGCAGTTCTTTGCGCCTCCTTTACACAAAGGTACAAGCAGCTTGGCAGGGATTCTGACCCTGGAGACCGGTGGGGCTCCGGGGGTGGGTCCTCCTGTTCTGCTGGGACGGTGTTGTGGGCAGGAGGGACATCTCCGGGTCCTTTGAAATCTAACCAGCCCAGCGGCTGTGTCGCCCACTCTGGCGGTGGCGGGCACTGGCCGGCTCAGCCAGCCGAGAAGCGCCGTGGCCCGCGGCTGCCCGCCGGGCGGGACAGGGACTTCCAGCGCCTCGCGCGCCGGCTTCCCAGCACCGAGCGTGAGCGGCCGCGGGATGCTACCTGGGGCGGCCGTTCCGGACTCCGGATCCCGGGAACGACCACCCCGGCGTATCCTCGCCGACAGCCGCTGCTTTTGCGCCCCCACCGGCCGTGCCCGGAGGCGAGGGGGCGAGTCCAGGATCTCCCCCCCCCTCCCAACATCCACACGATCCACCCCCAATCCCTTGCCCCGGGCTTCCAGACCGGCCCCAGTGTCCCCCCGGAGCCTCGCGGGCAGGCGGTCCGGTGCCCCGGGGGCGGGGACAGGCGCGGGGCGGGCCTGGGCGGGGGCGGGGGCTCTCCCGGGAGCAGCCAGCTTCGCTGCAGCCGCGGCTGCGACAGCCCAGAAGGAGCCGGAGAAGCTGGCACAGCGCAAGGGGTCCGGGTCTCCCGCTGCTTGTCGTGCGTCCCGACCCAATAAAGGAGCGGGGATCTGCTCGTCCGAAAAGCCGCAGGTACCGAGCGCGCCCTCCCGGGAGGATGCTCCAAGGTGCCCCGGGTGCAGGGACTTTTGAGTGAGGTGGGAGCTGTTTCTAGAGCACCCCCAGCGCGGGCTTATTTAGCTAGGGGCGCGGGGCAGCTCCTGCTCCAGCCCGAAACTGTATAGCCTGCGGGGGCCCTCTGGGCAAAGTTGGAAGCGGCGGAACGCGCATCAGCAGGGCTGCAGCAACGGCTGGGGCTGTCCCCGGGCGAGTGTTAAAGGATCGGGGTCCAGCAGGGGTCGCCGGATGGAAGCCGGGGTCCTCTCTGAAACAATAACATAGGAGAAAGGGTCGTTGGACGATCTCTCCCCATTTACAGCTCTTCTAATCCCACCTCCCGTTGGGAACTTTTAATTTCTCTTTGTTTCAAAAATCCTGACGCGGAGCCTCCCAGGTGGCCGGCTGGTCTCTGCCCCTTTAGAGGGGGCTGCTTACGGTGCCCCTGAGATCCCCGCCCCAGACCTGGAGGGAGTGGCCCCTCGGACGGTGGGGAGGGGGGCCGAGGTTCTGCTGTCACACCAGATAGGGACACCTCCTGAGAGGAACAGAAGAAAAGGCTCAGAAGAAGAAAAGTCTGTGCCAAACAGGGACAGGAAAAGAGGGGCAGTGAAGGGAGAGGGAAATGGGCCTGGGGCCTGAGGTTAAACTCCCTTGGGTGCAGAAGAACTTTAGAGTCAACCCCTATAAAGTTACACAAGATCCAGAAGTCTCAGACTGAGGGCAGTGGGATGTCCTAGGCTGTGTAACTGGACCGGGAGTACTTAGCTTCTTTTCCCAGAGCCTCCCTCCACAGACACCCTTCCTTTCCCTCTGCTTCTCCTGATATTTAGGATGATCTCCAGGCTTGGTTAGGGAGGACACCCACCAAAGCCACAGGATCAGGCTGAAGGAGGGGTTCTCAGGCTTCCTCTGGGCTCCCCATATCTCAACCATGAGCTTCATACCCCTTTTACCTCTCCTTGTTCTCTCATATCAGGATGGGTTGGTCTGGGTAAGGAGTCTACTACCCCTCCTTGCAAACTACTAAGGAAGTGTCAAGTGTAAGTCAGAAGCTGGAGAGGGGGTAGCAGCCTCCTCTGAAGGCAGCTTGCCTCAATGATCTCTGGCCTGGGCTTTCTCTTCTCTCTCTCTCTCTCTCTCTCTCTCTCTCTCTCTCTCTCTCTGTGTAGGGGACTAGGGAGGAAGTGCTGATCTGTTTACCTCAGGACACACCATCCGTGCAGAAGGATTTGGCTCCAAAGCACCCCTTCTAAATCACTTAGTGAATAGGCTGTAACTTCAATCCTGGGGCCTCAGCCTGGACACAGGTCTTGCTAATCTCTGTGCTTGGCTTCCTGGCTCACAGCGCACTCTGATGTGGGATCAGGAGGCCCAGTGAAAAGAGAGAAGGTGGCTGCTAAGTAGGTGCTATGATTTTTGTGCAGTGTTTGGCCAAAAGGGAGAAAAACAACTCGGGGTGCAGGGAAGGCTGTTTCAAAGGTCTCTCTCTCTCTCTCTCTCTCTCTCTCTCTCTCTCTCTCTCTCTCTTTCTCTCTCCCCCCAGTGGTATTCCAAGCTGTATTTTTATGTTCAAGGCACAGAATAAATAGGATAATGCTGCAAAACAGTGCATATGGGGAAATTAGGATAGGCCACTTCAGTACTCCCTCTCTGTCCACACATGCTCTAACTTGGTCCCTGAAGAAAAGTGCACCACTCAGTCTTCATGGAAAAGAAATAAATGGGACCCATGCCTGTCGGTCTCTCTAGCAACAAGGAGTGAGTGGCTTTGTGGTTTGGAGCTATATTTTCCCTCCCTACTTCTTTTATTTCCACACCATCACTTTAATGTCCTCTCTGAGCAGGTGTTTAATGGATCTGCTTAGATTACATGGTGGTTTTAAACTTGGCCACAACCACCCACAATCACAAGCAACTGTTTGTGTGTTTTTTCAAAGGCATAGAATGAACCCTGATACTTCGGTCCTGAGGATGCTGACAGGAACACTTTGACTTATTAAAGTAGAACTGAGTGGCGGCAGAGAGAAGAGACATCATCCTGCCAGACCTCACCCCAAGGGAATTGCCAGCAACTTTGCTTACCATCCTCTGCCCAGATGGCAGCCACCATGGGATTTGTGAAAGAGAACGACACCTCTACCTCCACCAACTTCCTTTCCATGCTCGATTCCCAAGAAGTGCAAGCTTCTCCCTTCCCATTCAACTCCAGCTACAGTGACTACGATCTGCCCCTGGATGAAGATGAGGATGTGACCAATTCTCGGACTTTCTTTGCTGCCAAGATTGTCATTGGTGTGGCCCTGGTGGGCATCATGCTGGTCTGTGGCATTGGCAATTTCATCTTTATTGCTGCCCTGGCCCGTTACAAAAAGCTGCGCAACCTCACCAACGTGCTCATTGCGAACCTGGCCATCTCTGACTTTCTGGTGGCCATTGTCTGCTGCCCTTTTGAGATGGATTACTATGTGGTTCGCCAGCTCTCCTGGGAGCATGGCCACATCTTGTGTGCCTCTGTAAACTATCTGCGCACTGTCTCTCTCTATGTCTCCACGAATGCCCTGCTGGCCATTGCCATTGACAGGTGAGTGAAGGGCACTGGGACTAATCCTTCTGTACTGAAGTTGTGGGTTGATGAGAGACAGCTCTGTCTCCATCCACAGAGTTCAAGGTTGCCCACTTACTGAACAGTAAGAAGAGTTCTAGTTTTATAGCTGCAATCAGTCTGGTGGTAGCAGAACTGCTCTTGTTCCACAGTGGGAAGACTTTCTGATCCCTCTTCTGTGGATTCAATTCTGGATGTTGCATCCATTCAAGGTCTACATGTTGATAGATAAGGGAAGGTGTAGGACAAGTTTAAGTTACAAATGAAGAGTGTCATCAGGACATTCACTACTAAGTGAATGTCACCAGACAATTTTAAAATAAGGCTGAGTATTTTTTCAAGAGGAAAGGGGAGGGGCTGGAGTGATAGTACAGTGGGTAGGGTGTTTGCCTTGCACATGGCCGACCCAAGTTCAATTCCCAGCATCCCATATGGTCCCCTGAGCACTGCCAAGAGTAATTCCTGAGTACAAAGCCAGGAGTAACCCCTGGGCATCGCTAGGTGTGACACAAAATGTTTAAAAATTAAAAAAAAAGATGAAAGGGAAAAAAAGGAACCTATGCATATCTACTCTTTTTGTAGTTCCATGAACTATTTTTGTGACCTGCTTCATACATACATACAAACATACAGAAGACTTGTTTCTAGTGACAGTGAGTAGAACCAGTAAGAACAGCTTATGGAAGCTTTTTCTTTGTTCTAAGTAGTCTTCACTTAGTCTATCACTTGTGCTAATGGGTCAGATAGTTTTTATTCTATGGGGGACAATCTCTGCAAGTTCTTCTGCCTGAAACTGGACTCTCAATTTGCATTCTGAATCCTTGTTGCAGGCTAATTAAAGTAACCTTCAGGATCAAATCAGCCTCCTGGTACTGGGATCTAAATGGCCTGCCTCTCTTTCTTTGGCCAACAGACCATGTTTGTGGCCTTTAGGGCTCTGGCAGAGTTCAATCCTCTCCCTCCCCCAGTCAGGATACCCTCAGGACAATGTCCCTGGAAGGACCACAAAGGAGAGAAAACTAGGAAAGGGCATGCCTGAGGAACAGGCTTTAAAACCACTGAGCAGTGAAGTCTTTCTTCCCAGAGAAGCACATCAGGGAGCTGGTGCTTAGACAGTCTGGGGTCTGTCACCTGAAACTGTGCTCAGAGTTGTGACCCTATGGGGAGGGTCCTCCACGTGAGTCATGGAGCCCCATAGTGTTATAAACCTACAGAAGGGGACGGAAGGAGTCAGACAAGCAGAGTGTCCTTCAGATCTGTCAAGGAAGAGCTCCAGGGACCCCATACCTGGCCATTTCTCAAAGATGCAGCTGCTTCTCAGCATGCTCTCTCTTAGCACAGGAACTGAATGGAGTATGTGGGGGTCATTTCCTGAAGCCCCACTCCAGAGAGGTGTTTTCCCACTGTGCATGGTCCCATCGCTGACAGTGGGGTTTTTGGTACCTGCCCGCTGTTTGGCAGAGTCTGCTCTCTGGGTGAGATCTGCTCTACGGTGTGGGGCCACACTTGTCAAAAGGCTAACAGTGCAGGAGAAGGGGAGTGAGGAGAAATTTAGGGCCTCATAATGCTTTGGAATAATTAAAAAATTTTTTTTAAAAAGCAGTATCTTTGTCAGTCTACTGAAGGCCTCAGATTTGCATTTCTTTTATGTTTTATTTATTTTTTGCTTTTTGTGTCACACCTGGTGATGCACAGGGGTTACTCCTGGCTCTGCACTCAAGAATTACTCCTGGTGGAGCTCAGGAGATCATATGGGATGCTGGGAATCGAACCCAGGTTGGCCACATGCAAGGCAGATGCCCTACCACTGTGCTATTGCTCCAGCCCCTTGTATTTCTTTTCATGCCAAACTCAGTTAGCCTGAAACACTGCAGGCATTCTCTTACAGCGTAGGTGTATATAATGCAACTTGGATAAACTAAGGAATGCTTACCTGGAGGATGGGCTGTGCACCCTGGAAACTGTCACTGTTTAGAGCAGGGGCGCAGCTGGACACTTGTGCCCAGTGTTGAAGGAGGACAGGGGAGAACACAGCTTCCTGCATGGAGCTGTTCAGTGCCCGTGACCATGAGCTGGTTGCTCCACTGCACTGCATTTCCTCAAGTGGTTTTTGTGATCTTTGCTTCAAGTTTGTGTTACTTTTTGGTTTTGGCATCTCATTCCTATTCTGTGGTTTAGGATCTTATTGATTATTATCTGGCCTTGTATGTTTAGCTTTTGGTTGGTGTTTCTCAAGTTTGATTTTGTTAGTTTGGAGTAACTAATTCTTATCTTGATGCTACAAATACACCTACAGTTATGAAAACACCTTTGTTTTAGTTGAATGGCATTTCTGTAGGAATAGTGTGGGCAGTTATTCTGCCTGGGCTTATACCACACTTGTGCCACATATTTGCTATGGGGTGTCATGTTAGTAATTTGATCTCTCTGCCTCAATTTTCTGTGTATAAAATGGGAATAATTAAAAAAAAACCCTGACATAATGTATGTAATTCTTTAGGACAATGTTTAAAACTGGGTATACAACAAAAGGTATTGTTGATATGATCATTTTAAAAAATGGAGTCACTATGAATTACAAAGATATCCACAATTGAGTTTCATGCGTACAAAGTTCCAACACCAATCCCTTCACCAGTGTCCACTACCTCCACCAATGTCTCCATTTTCCCAACCCTCTGCACCCCACAGCCTGCCTCTGTGTCATGCACTTTCCCCTTTCCCATTATCCTGGTGTTCCCTTCCCTAACTTTTACCCCTTACCCCCTGCCCCAGTGACTAGCTTCCTCTGAAGACCAGTTCTCCTACTCTTCTTTCTTTGCCTCAGAGCATATTCCCCCAAGACATTAATATCCCACAAATAAGAGAGTACCCTTTAAAGAAATAACAAATATATCCCTGAAAAACTATTAATTAGTTCTGATTGTGAATCTTATTGTATTAATTGAAATGATAGTTTATGTGCTATGATTTGAAAAATAATCACAGGCTGGGGAGGTGATACATGACTTTGAACCCCCGCACCACAAATCCTGTGAGCACACTGAGCCTTGGAGGTCGCTGAGCACTGTCAGGGAGCATAATCTTCCTGGGCCCTTGCATTGATCCGCTGTCCAGGTTGGTGGAAAATTACCCGGGCATGCTGAGCTCCACTTTGAAGCCCCCCAACACCTCTCCCCCTTTGTGAAAAAAGTGTCATGCAAATGTCTTAGGAATCTTGCATGACAAGATTCCTAAGACATACAGCTCTCAAGATGGAACAGAAAACTAATTTACTTTCTACCGGTTCAAACTTCTGTTTCTGTTATTGACTCCATGGTACTGCCAGGCATTTAAACCAGCAAGTCCCCTTTTTCTTGGCCATGGTCTCTTCCCCCTCACCCCCCACCCCCGCTCAAGAGTTTTGTTTCCAGATCCTGTTTCATGCACCTACCTGTTCACCTAGTACTGGACTCCCATGGTCTACTCTTGGTGTGTGTGTGGGGGGGTGTCAGGTAGAATTGCACCTACCCCTTTAGTTTTTCTTCTTGTGCTCAGGTTCACCAAGGGCTGCACTCACTTAATTGTGGTGCTCATGTACACTCTACTCCAGTGCTCGAGAAATGGGGGTCATGGTGGTACTTATGTATCTGGTGCCCAGGACTCACACTCCTGGCCACAGAGCTAGCACTTCTTTTCTTTTCAGTTGTGGGGGCCATGTAGGAAGGAGTGGTTTTGTCACACCCATGGGTATAGTGCTCAGTATAGAATTAGCTCGCAGTGTCAGGGATCACAGATAGCAGCATATCCAGACTCCATGAACTGATCCTGCTAACATCATACTCAGCATATACAGTGGCACCAGGGATCAAACTTGGATCCTTACGCTTCCAAGACTTTAGTCACTGAATCATCTGCCGATGAGTCAAAGAAAGAAGAGCAGGAGAACTGGTCTTCAGAGGAAGCTAGTCACTGGGGCAGGGGGTAAGGGGTAAAAGTTAGGGAAGATATCCACCGAATAATGTGTCAGAAACTATATCAAGTATCACAGTAGCACTGTCCTCCCGTTGTTCATCGATTTGCTCATGCAGGCACCAGTAATGTCTCCATTGTGAGACTTGTTACTGTTTTTGGCATATCAAATACATCACAGGTAGCTTGCCAGGCTTTGCTGTGATTCCAAGTATAAGATTCCAAGTATAAGACTGTGAATATGGAGAGGGGAAAATGCCTCGCTCTCAAGGAATCTAGGGATAGCTAGAGAGAACAGTCAGGCAGACAAATTAGAGGAAGGCTATTTGGGGGTGTGAGAAATGCTATCAACAAAAACAGATCAACGGTCACACAAAAACACTAAGAGTGCATGTAGAAACAGTCAGAAAGTGTTTCTGAGGGGACTGGAGCGATAACAGAGCGGGTAGGGCGTTTGCTTTGCACGCAGCCGACCTGGGTTCAATTCCCAGCATCCCATATGGTCCCCCAAGCACTGCCAGGAGTAATTCCTGAGTGAAAATCCAGGAGTACCTCCCTGTACACCACTGGGTATAACCCCAAAAGCCCCCCCAAACAAAAAGAAAAAAGAAAGTGTTTCTGAGAAGACATTGGAACAGAACTTTGAATGTCGAATGTCGTAGGGGAGAAAAGGGGGAAGCTGTTTTTAGGAATATCTATGCAAAACAAGCAAACAAAAAAAAAACAAAACAAGCATTCTAAACAAAGGGAAATATAAATGCCAAGGCTCCAAGATAAACCTGAGGGTTCTGGGAACAAAGAGAAGGTCCCAGTGACCCGAGGGAAGAAAGCAAAATGAGCCAAAGGAATCTACCATTTGTGTGTCTCCTGCTCTTGCCCAAAACCCTCAGTCCCCCCTAATAGTCCATGATCTACAAAAGAAGACTTTAGCCCCTGGGATCACTCTTCCCATCTTTCATTACTGAGGTCCATATTGCCTCCCATTCTGTGTTGGGTAAACATTGCTGCGTCCTGTTTTCTGAAAAAAAGGTTGCAATCTTTTTGAAAATCATCAGTATGACTCAACACATTTCTATTCACTCAATGCCATGCTCTGCTGAGGATGACATTTTATTAAAGTTTTCGATGCCCAATAGACTCTGTATAAAGAATTTACTGGCAAGGAAACGTTATAAAGGAAGTAGAGTTCCTGCTCTTGGGAAATTTACCATCTAGAATGAGTTGAGATAGGAAGAGAAAACAGTTATGAAACTCTCAGAGAATAAGGACAAAGTATATTTTATTTCACTTTTATTTATGGGGGGGCTCAGTGTTCAGGACTTACTCCTGGTGGTACACAGACTATAAGTGGTGCCTGGGATTAGGAGGTAAACAAAATTTGGAATAAATAAACAAGGGAAAGCCTTGTATCATCTCTCTGGCCTGTAAAGTGTAGCATTGTAGCACTGTCCTCCCATTGTTCATCGATTTGCTCGAGCAGGCACCAGTAATGTCTCCATTGTGAGATTTGTTGTTACTGTTTTTGGCATACTAAATATGCCACCGGGAGCTTGCCAGGCTCTACTGTGCGGGCAGGACACTCTCGGTAGCTTGCTGGGCTCTCTGAGAGGGACGGAGGAATCGAACCTGAGTCGACCGCATGCAAGGCAAATACCCTACCCACTGTGCTATCGCTCCAGCCCATTTAATTAATTCATTAATTTTTAATTGAATTACCATGTGATACACAGTTACAAGATTGTTCATGATTGGGTTTCAGTCATACAATATTTCAATACCCATCATTTTACCAGTGAAAAGGATATATTTTAAATAAAATTTAGGAAAGAGTAAGAGTGTCCTAGTTGTCCAACGGTGGTGAAGAACTTTAACTGCCCTTCAAAAATTGGGGCTCAGCGATGGTGAGAGAAGGGTTTCTAAGAAAGTCAGTGTTTACAAAAGCTGAGAGTTGGGAGTGCTCGAGGTACAAGCACTGGGGAGAATAGGTGGGACAGGGGTGAGGAACAAAATAGGAGCAGAAAACAGAAAAGCTGCATTACTCATGCTAGAATCTCTCCAAAGCTACTCACAGGGGGTCAGACCAGCAGGAGCTGAGAACTGGAAAAGGTCATCAGAGGTCACTGTCCCCCCTGGGATCTGGCTTTCCTCATGATTGTAGGGACACCGACACTATGTCTGGGGACAGGTTTCCTCGCATCCCTGAGCATGTGGCGGCACTGAAGAACCTTCTCTTATGTTACTTAGAATCTTGGGGGAACTGGCCAGTCTAGCCACTGCCTGCTGCCAGCTCCTCTGTCTGGATGAAAACAATGAAGGCGAGAGTCAGAACTTTAGGGAGCATTGAGATTCCCCAGTGAGCTGACTGGTAGGGGCCTAATGGTCCAAGAAATTAGTGGTTCATTCATCTGTTCCATATCAGCTAGAAGCTGCTGTGACCTCCAGTTTCTGGATTGAGTGGGTTTGGGTCCTAGGGACAAGAGGGAGCCCAAATGTTCCCCCCCTTTTTTAAAAAATCACTCCTTTCACCACTGCCACACCATGACTTCCTGGGCATGAGTTTGTCCAGCAGCCTTTACCCTCTGTTCTCTGGGAAGTGTTGCTTCCCTGTGGATCTTAGCCTGGGTCAGCATAGTGGCAGACACACAGGGTAGGTCAAGGGCTTCCCATAAACAGGGAGGAGTGGTCAATTGCCTGAGCACTTCTGGGCACATCTAAAGGCAAAAACGGTAGAAAATGACTGTGAAGGAGAGAATAAAGGCAGGGCAGGGAGAAATCACTAGAATTCTAGGAAGACCAGGGTAAGGGATATTGCTTGCTTTTGGAGCAAGAGGAAGGTGGTGGGGTGGGGTATGACTATTAGAAAGTCCACTGGATTTGGAGCAAGATGGCTTGTGCCACTGTTTCGTTCATTTTTAGCTTCACAAATTTTGACAGACTATTTAGTGTTTCCAAATCTTGATGTGATTATCTGTCAAGTGGATGTTGTCACTCCCTGACATTTTCAGTAGGGTTGGTGTTATCCAATGTTTCTTGTATAGCTCTGGAGTACATTTGTTGTACAACTTCATTACCAAGGGTGAAATTTGGTGATGTAGAGAAAGTCAGGATAATTATTTTATGAGTAGTTTCAGATTATTCCAAAGAGTAGTTTTGACTTAAAGACAAATTGTTCCAGTAAGTTTATTTTCCAATGAAGAGTGGAAAGAAAAAAATAACCTGAAGACAGACTAAGTGAGAAAACAATACATTTTGAGTTGATAATCATTTATTGTAAAGTAATGATCTGTTGCTTATATGAAGAGTCTCGTTGGAATCTCAAAGTTTCTCTGTGAGGCTGATGAAGCTGGTAATATTCCCATGTTAAGATGTTACACTGAGTCCAGAAGAATATAGTAATAGTATTCAAGTAATCATCAGAATGGGGTTGGAAAGACATAGAGGCAGAGATCTTAGTAAGAGCAAAAATGATAAACTGTTTTCATTGTGAGTGGGAGTAAGTTTGTTGTATTCATCAGAACAGAAGCATTGTGGTCTTTATAAACTTCATCATCATGTATTGAGAAAAGCGTTACCTATATCATTCCTATTTCATCCTTAAGCACTTGAGAGAGAGGCGAGGATGCCACAGATTATTGTTGTTTCTGGAGCATGTTAGACACCAGCTGGGTGTTCAGAAAGTGGAAACAATCCATCTAACTTCATCTAACAATTGAAGGTAGAAGAGCGTTCTTTGTCTTTATTTGAACACTCCAAATAACAGTCAGTGGAGTTGGCTTCCTGGCTTGTGGGGGATTGCAGGATGGAGAGAAAGAAACAGCTGGAACGTAATCAGAAAAAGAACGAATGTCCTCTTTGAATCAAAATCCCAAGAAAGATGACCTCAATGGGATTGGTTTCAAAGGAAATAGAATTGGTTTGGCATTCCTTCAGGGGCCTGTCACACTTGTTCTGAATTCTAACTGGGATAAGCTGTAGACACGCGCAAGTGTGTTTATTTCTAATGCTGGTTAGCCGTTCCTTTCCACTTCGTTTCCCATCTTTCTCCTTCTTCAACTTCCACCCCCTGCCAGACATAGAAAGTCTTCCAGGAAACCGGAGCCCAAGTATGTGCACTCTCTGGGAAGGAGGCTTTCATACTGCACAAATGACTCACAGCCCCCAGAAAGTGCTCTTTCTTTGCTCTCCTGGGCCATTGTGGTAACAGCAGTATGGTCTTTGGGTTTTGTTTTTTTGCAGAGAACAAAACAACATCTTTTTACTGTCTGGTGCTTTAAGGGTTGTGTGTGTGTGTGTGTGTGTGTTTGTGTGTGTGCATGTATATTATCAATTGACCTTCACATCAGTCATTTGAAATGTTTCTATCATATATGACCTTAAGAAAGTCAATCATTTCTTATTAACCTCACTCTTCCACCAAGAAGTTTAGCTAAATGATCATAAGCTTTTCCTTTACCTTTTCATGCAGAGCATTTTTTAGAAAAAAATCCAACATATTAATCTAATATTAATCTAATATCTAATATTTTTATAGGGTTACACTCAGAGGTGTTCTGGAGGCCAGATACTACTGGGGATTGAACTCAGGACCTTACTAGGCATATGCTCAACCACTTTATCTATTTTCTCAGTCCCACAGAAAAGTGTGTTTTGTTGTTGTTGCTGTTGTTACTTTTTTAATAGAGAATGAAGAGGATGCTTAAAATACTGATTCCATTGGAGAAGACAAATTTCCCCAACAAATCTTTGAATTATCAAATCTTTTTAGCTCTGAACTGTAGAGGAATTAGGTTGAATGGTGCTGAAAACATGAGTACTCTGGGAATAGAGCCAGGGAAAAAACTTATGGGAAGCATTATTTCTATGTTCAACAATAATTTTTTGAGTATTTACTATGTTTAAACTATGCTAGGATTTGTATATATTAGCACATTTAATCCTTAAAAGCAAAAGCTTTTGCAGATAAGAAAACAGATTCAGTGAGATTAAACAAAATTTGTCTGAAGTTGCACAGCTGGTGAGGAGTAGGGCTGGGCTTTATTTTCTAAGTTGGCTCTCTGTGAAGGCCCCATACATGGTGGGTTATTGCTCCACACATACCATGTGGTTGCCCCTCAACATTGTTAAAATCATAACATCCAGAATTTCCTTGTCCTAGTACTTGACCCCTTTGCGTTTTTGTCCTAGATATCTTGCCATTGTCCACCCGCTGAGACCCAGGATGAAGTATCAAACAGCGACTGGCTTGATCGCCTTGGTGTGGGTGGTGTCAATCCTCATCGCCATCCCTTCAGCTTACTTCACAACAGAAACAGTTCTCATCATTGTCAAGGACCAGGAGAAGATCTTCTGTGGCCAAATCTGGCCAGTGGACCAACAGATCTACTATAAGTCCTACTTCCTCTTCATCTTCGGCATCGAGTTTTTGGGCCCGGTGGTCACCATGACCCTGTGCTATGCCAGGATCTCCCGTGAGCTCTGGTTCAAGGCAGTCCCTGGTTTCCAGACGGAGCAGATCCGGAAGCGCCTTCGCTGCCGCCGGAAGACGGTCCTGGTCCTCATGTGCATCCTCATAGCTTACGTCCTATGCTGGGCGCCCTTCTATGGCTTCACTATCGTGCGTGACTTCTTCCCCACTGTGTTTGTGAAGGAGAAGCACTATCTCACAGCTTTCTACATCGTCGAGTGTATCGCTATGAGCAACAGTATGATCAACACCCTGTGCTTCGTCACTGTCAAGAACAATACCATCAAGTACTTCAAGAAGATCATGCTGCTCCACTGGAGGTCTTCTTACAAGAGTAGTAAGTCCAGTGCAGATCTTGATCTCAGAACCACCGGAGCACCTGCCACCGAGGAGGTGGATTGCATTAGACTGAAATAACTAGAAACCTTTTAAAGTTAAACTTAGATGATGTCTTTGGGACAATGATCAGTGTGCTCACACATACTTGCAAACAAAAACTCTTGGTTTATTGGAGTGTAAATGGACAACTCTGTGAGCTATGTGTTCAGAGAGTATGACTAGATAACACAGTTAGTGAATGACATTTATTATATGTCTCCTTTGCATAAAGAGTGGGCACTGGTGAAATCTATTTGTATTGATAACCTCTGGTGAAAAATGTTGGGTTAGAGTCTGAAATAAGGGAGTTTCTTGTTAATGAACCAGAATATGGATCTAAACTGTAGTAGAGGTGTTTTGAGGTGAGGTCTTGGAGCATTTCAGCTACTCATCAAATTGTGATGTAGCATATCTCTAGGATTGTTCTTAGACTTGATCTTGCTCTTAACATTTGTAAGGATGGGTCAAAAATACAAAAAAATAGTTCCTAACTCCCTCATTCCCCTCCGCCTTCACACACACACACACACACACACACACCAAAAAAATAAGAAAAAAACCACATGAAACTATTATCTTCTAATCCTTGGTCTCTGACTCTCACTTTGAGCATGTGTACTTGCATGCACATGTATGCATGGACAAGTTCTGTCCTAACCCACTACCTCCATGTTACCCCACAGTTGCCTCTTGGGCCTTAGAGACATGTCCATATGTGGTAATGCTTATCGTCAGAATGATGAACCTGAAGAAGCAGTCACACATGCTCTAGAACTGGTCAGAGAATTATGAGGCTTAGAATAAGCTGAATAGGTGAAGTGGGAAAATTCTTGAGTGCCACTGGATATGATTCCTTCACTCTATAAACTTCTTGTCCCTTAGTTGTGTAACTGGAGCATTGAAGGAGAAGAAATTCTCAGAACACGTGAATTCAGTGTATGTGCTGAGATTCTTTAGGTCAAACTTGGGCTGGAGAGATAGTAAGACACTTGATTTGCACATGGCCAATCCAGATTCCATCTCCAGCATGGCAAATGGTCTCCCAAGTCCCTGAGTACCACTGGGTGAGGCCCAAGAACACACAAAAAGGATTCTTTTGATCTAAGGATGATATTACTCATGCTTCTTAGTTATTCTGGTTTGGACCACTTTGGCTTCCTCTTAAGTCTCTTCTTAAGGCTTCTTTAGAGATTCTTGGAAGCATGCAATCTATTAAGAGACAACTTCATGGAATTGACTATCTCATTTTCACATTTTATCAGCTTTCACCCTCATTGGTATGATCTGAGAGCACTGTGTTTTGTTTACTGGTGCCTGAGCCTCATCAAATCATTATGCAATCCAGTGACAAGAGACAAGTTCAGTGATAGAACTGTGGCACACAGAAAAGAAAGGAACATCCCATTTGGGATGAAGAGTGTGTATTTATTGACAGAGAGAGTGGGGTGGGGAGAAATGATGAGTTTCAGTGACTTCACAGATTTTTGAGGGCTCATCCTGCTCTTAGTTTTTGACTTGTAGAATTTGAATTTTAGAACCAGAAGATCAGATTCAGCCTTGTCTCTGTCACTTGTGTGCCCCTGGGTAAAGCCTTGTGGAGGTGCCAAAGATAATATACCTATCATAGGTACTGAGAAAGTAACTATAAGAGGCAACATGAGAAAAAGTCAAGCTCATAAGCAACCAAAAGAAAGGGACTGCTAACTCTGTGTTGTCTTCCTGGAAAAACTTGCTACATTAGTTTATGTAGCTAGAAACCTAACCGTTTACTCTGTTAGTTCTTTGTGTGAATGATTTTTTATTCCTTTTAGCAGTACTAGACGCATTGGTCCAATATGATAGTGAATTTAGGGGCAGAGTGTATAAGGAAATAGCACATTAGTTCCCAGTCAGAAATGAGCTCAGAGTTTTAGATACAAGAACCAGAGCACCTTTGTGGTCATGAAAGTGTGATCACTGTAGTAATCTTCCTGTGTCTGTTCCCAGCCAGCATGAATCTTGGAAATGTGGTTTGTTTCCTAATCTTTTATTCTCATGAGTGTGTTTGACTGTAAATAATTTTAGAGAAGCTTGTATATAAGGCTATTTTCATGAAAACTGTATGGTGTTCTCTTTATCTAAAAATAGTAAATTCTTTGTTTAGGAATGTTAAGTTAATTTTTATGCTTAATATACCTAAAACTATTAATGTTTTCCAACTCATTGTCTAGCTGACTTACCTTAAAGTTTAATCAGAATATCCTCAAAGATTAAGAACTAAAATATGAACCTAAACTTAATATATCTTTGAAGACATTTTTTACTTAAAAAGAGATCTATTTCTTTTTAAGATCAGGATACTTAGTTTGAAACAAAAATAATAAAATGTTTGTTGTAATTATGCTTATTTTTCTTATTAGAAATGCTAAACATGAATTGGCTGTATTAAATAGGAGTTCTATTTACATGTCAACAAAATATATTTTTGCTTTTTAGCCTAAAATGCATCAATATTTTGCTCATTCATTTAATTATCTATAATATTTTAGATATTGTATCTGCTTATGATTTTACAGTGAATGGTGTTGTATTACCAAGTAAAATTAAAATGTGTATATAAATATACGAAATCATCAGCCAGGTGTTTCTGTGATTTCTGTTCCCCCTTCCTCTTTTTCTCTAATTATGATAATAAGATGATTCTCTGAGTGAACCCTAAACTGATGCTGATTTTGTGGTAATATGAGTCCTCAGAATAACTCATGCTCTTACTGCCTACCAATGTCTCTCTATTTTAAGAGATTGAATTGATTTAAGTCTTCTTCCTATAAGTCCGCGTTGGTTAAAACATTAGTACTTTTTGGCACCTCAGTGCCCAAAATTGAGATCTCAGGATCTGCTTGTTGCATAGTCAGAGTTAAATCTTTGAAGAGATTTATACAAAGTGAGCCAGAGATAAATCGATGCCACTTCTTTGTGACTGATTCATTGAATTGATTCTTTGTAGCCTACCTAGTCAATTACTTCCTCAAAAATGGGCACATGCTTTAAGGTGACATTTTTGCTCATGTGTTTCTTTTCTGTTTTCTAAGTGCTTTCAATTAACAAAAAGGTGTGTGCATTGTCACATACAGAAGAATAACGACATGATTTTTCCAAATCAACAGTTCTGTAAAGTAAAAGAGAAGGACAGATTCACAACAAAACTTTGGGAGATTTTGCCTGCTGCACACACATTTTAAAAATAATTTCTGAATGACATTAAAACATGGAAATGTGGCAGTCTCCACAGCAAGACCTCAAGCATGAAACATGTTCCATGCTTGTTGTGGAAAAGAATACGAAAGAATTTGTACGATGTCCAGAAAATTATAAATAAGTTTTTTTACTTAAAAATTATGATAAAGTTTGGAAAGTATCAACAAAGAATGAAGCCAGTTCTTCCTAGACTGAAAATTTAAAAAAAAATCTGATTTATGTTTGTTGAAAATAAAGTCCAGAAGGAGGGTGGGTGAGATTTATTCAAGGTTGCAGAGCTGGTCCTTTGAGAGTTAGGGATAGATCCCCAAGACTCCAGAAGTTCTCCCAAAACATTTGTCTGTATACTGGGAGCATCAAATTCCTGGAAATGAAAGGATCCTTTCCAACAATCTTTAAGGTGACTGTTTACCTCCATTGTGGCCTTTCTGGAAAATTTTAAGGAGTTTAGCAGAGACATTCCTTGTTCTTTTGCAAGCCAAGTTTAGCTCATTCTACCCTTGGGAATGCACAGCACAGGCACATAGAATAGGTTTTAGGGAAGAATTGCTAAAAATGTTTATAGCTCCTCGTTCTTTACCTTGCCAAGTTGGGGGCTCTAGGACTATAAAAAAGAAATATATTAGGCCCCTGTTCATTGGAACAGCTGACTGCCCTAGGAAAGCAGAGGAAGAGAATGAAGCCATGAACTCTGCATGTCCAGACAGGAGCAGGGATGTGTTTCAGAGATCAGGGACATCATAAGACTACCTCTTGCCTTTGTCAGGAGAGCCTCATGGGAAGGGTGCTTTGGTTGAGTGGAGTGTGGAGAAAGAAGTAAGAGGACAGTCATTTGTTTTGTCCATTGTAACAGAATCTGATTTTTTTACAGTGGTTAAAAACATAAAATTGGGGCCGGAGTGATAGTCCAGCAGGGAGTGCATTTGCCTTGCACACTGCCAACCAGGGTTCAACCCCCAGCATCCCATATGGTCTCCTGAGGATCTCCAGAAATAATTCCTGAGCTCAGAGCCAGGAGTAACCCCTGAGCATTGCCGGGTGTGACCCAAAAAAGTCAAAAAACAAAAACAAAAAAATAATTAAAAAAGTAAAATTACTCTGGAAAGAAAGATGGCGGCCGCACGGGAGCCTTGTGGACAGCAGGTTTGAGCCGGGGGTGGGGGGCGGCAGGGGCCTCATGGGAAGGGGGGGCGTAATGGGCCGTCCTTCACCCCCGACCGAGGTCGCCAGCTGACCCCCACGAGCGGCTCTCTGGCACAGCCACAGCCCCGGAGGCACAAGGACTTAGCACAGAGAGCCACCTGCTTGGAGCAGAAAAGCAAATGGACTGCGTGTTAAACCGTGCCAACATGCCTGCCCGGAGGGGAAAGGGTGTTGCTCCATTCGCCCAATCCTCTCTGGAAAGAAAGATGGGGGCCGCATGGGAGCCTTGTGGACAGCAGGTTTGAGTCGGGGGTGGGGGGCGGCAGGGACCTCATGGGAAGGGGGGCGTTCTGGGCCGTCCTTCACGCCCTACTGAGGTCACCAGCTGCCCCCCACGAGCGGCTCTCCGGCACGGCCACGACTCCAGAGCACAGAAACCAATCTATTAACTATCTAACTTTTAATAGAAATACTTCCAGGGTTAATAAGTAAAATAGCAGAAATCCAAAACCGCGCGGCTGCAATGGCGGCCGCACGACATCATTTTATTCTTAAACCCAGCTGTAGAAAGCAAATCATTTCACAACGCTGTTTCATCATATCTGATTGGGGGGGGGGGTCGTAAACTCTAAACAATAATTGTGCATCTTCTATCGAAACAATGTATCTAGTCAAAGTAGATAGAGTATTAACTAGAACTCATCTGCCTCACAGGAATTGGGAGGGGTGGGAGGTGGGGTTCTATTGGGGTTCACGGTTAAAAATAAGTATTGGTAAAGGGAAATGTGTTTGATATTTA